TTCAGTAAACTAAACGCTCATATTATGTACTGTGGAAGAGTTGGATGATAGACAATCGGTTATTTTCATGTCGTGAAATTAAAGTTTGAAGATAAAATATTAAAATTGAAATAATGTTTTACTATATAATATTTAAATAATAGGGTAAAGTAGACATATGGTCCCCGATTATATGATACTATTTTATTGAGTCTTTTGACTTTCAAAAGTTACAAAATGGTCCCTTATAGGGGTTGTTTTGTTAAGTCATTGACTATTAAAAGTTATACAATGATCATTTGACTATTTATTATGTTTCAAATTCATCTTTTTATGTTAAAAATTAACAATCATATGAGGTGGATGCTAACATCTTAACTGGGATATAATAGTCGTTTGAGATAATATTTTATTCTATCTCAGTCGTTCGGCCAATACTAAACGAACGCTCTAAAAAATAAATAAATAAACACGAACACTAATCGAATATAAACTCTTTAAAAACCAAATAAATAAACAGAAACACAATTTTATTTGTTCAAACTCAATTCGATTACGCTCCAACTAACAATAAAACACGGCTCTCCTCAAGAAGAATAATCTGTCATTTATTATTTGAGAGAACGATCAAAGAAAATATACTTGTAAGTTTTCAGTAGAGTTCCACAATTGATAGATGGAGTATAAACGTTTAGCCTCATCTGCAATAATTTCTCTCTCCTAAGAATCGTTACCCATGCAATAACAACAAGTTATGTCTATGATAAAATGAAGCAACTTTAGATCATTTGATTATGATCTCATATCTTATCAAATAAATATGAATGATTCTTTAAATTTATTAGCCTAATATAACTATCCGTTTATGGACGTGGTGTAAAATCCAAATAAGGTCACATATCCCACGCTCTTACAGTGTGGAACGTGTACGGCTCGTGACAATAAATTTGCAGCGGTAACCTCTCCAATAAACCGCTGGGAAATTTCTTGCTCTTCATTCCATATATAATCCCCCGTTGCCGATCCTCTCTTTCAATTTCATTTCTTTCTCTTTGTCCAAACAAAGAACAAAGTTAGAGAAGAGAGCCTACCGCTATACTGAAACGATGGCATTTCGTTTGAGCAACAACCTCGTCGGTATCCTCAACTTGACCACATTCATCCTCTCGATCCCTATCCTCGGCGCCGGCATCTGGCTTAGCCGAGAAGGCGTGACCAAGTGCAAACGGTACTTGGATAGGCCCGTTATCGTAGTCGGGGTCTTCCTCATGCTGGTCTCACTAGCGGGACTAATCGGCTCGTGCTTGTTGGTAATGCTCAATCACACATAGTGTTGGAAATACTATTGGGAATGGTATTTAAGGCTTGACATTCCACTTTTTTGTTGAGTGATAGAGAACAGGGGGCTCTCGCGCACCGCCGCCGTCCGTCTCGGCTCGGCTCGGCATCGTGGTCGTGGTAATACGTGTCTTCGACACGTCCGAGCGGATACTATCTTTTTTAGAGAAAATTCTTGAGGAGACAAGCTGTCAGTCATGCAAACCTGGGTTCACAGACAACCTCAAGAGTTCATGGAAGAAGAAGGTGGTTGTCAACATCGTCCTCCTCATCTTCCTTATTGTTGGCTGCTTCAGGAACAACAAAAGAGACGACGGATATTTGTTCATAATATTGATGTTCCGGATATTCGTCCTCCTCACCTTTTTACATCTTTGTATCATCTATCTAGTGCTCATGCTTCAACTTTGTGTTCCGGATATTTGTTCATAATATTGATGTTGATATTGTTATATTGAATGTTGACCAATATGGTTGAAGGGAAATAAAAGCTAGGTAAATAGTGTGGGTTTAAAAAATCCTGGGTTTTAAAACTAGATGGGCTAAAGATCATTGGATAAGATCATTAGGTTGGGCTTCGCATAGCAGTAGATGTGCTGGTCCCTGGTGTTTCTGGTGCTTCTCTCATTGAATAACGACAGAAACCAACATCTTTAATTGGGAATGAAAGATTCAATATGTAATGCTTCAATTGCTGCCGATATCAAAGTAATGCTGGAATGGACCACTTTTAATAATGACAGAATCATGAGCCAAGATACAGCATAATCACGTTTGTATCGTCTCTCAACAATGAAAAGTTGGTAGTTATCCACAATGGATCGAAGAAATTCTAAGCTTCGGGTCCATTTGCCTTGGGGCATGCGTCGGCCTAAAGCAAGAGTCTCCAGATCATATTTACCCCCAAGAAAATCACAGTAATGGTATATGATCAAGAGTTTTCTAACGACTGTTGTGTATGATGGTTCAGATGGCGTCGGATCCCTACTGAGCCAGGAGACTTTTCGAGAACATTGTAGTTCAAACTCCTTATGGTTTTGGTCGTGACGTGCCATTGGCGGTGAAATGGAAGTATCATGAAGGATGTGAGGTGGTCCCGGGCAAGGTTGCATATATCCTCGTACATCAAATCCGGTGGGAACACCCGCTCGAACTTAGTAATGAGGACAAGGTTCTCCGAGCATAAGCCATCGGAAATGGTGTTCCAATTTGTTGAAAACATTTTGATATTTCGATATAACAAATTAAGTTTACATAAATTTTAAGATTTTACAAATGATTTTCTAAGTATATTCGATTCAATTAATCGAATATCAAATTATTACTCCAAATCTTTCAAGATCAATTTTAAATCTTACTAAATGTGTAAAATTGTGTTTTATACTTAATATATCTTTGAAACAACTTTCACAAAGTATTTTGAACCAAAATCAAGCCTTAAATTAATTATTCAAAGGCATGCACCGATGCATTAAACTATGCATCGATGCACCGATAATTTAATTGAACATCGAATGCATTTGATGCATCGATGCACATACCATGCATCGATGCACTCAGGCTTTTTCAAAACATCGAATGCATTTTATGCATCGATGCACTCTTAAGTGCACCGATGCACTGAGAGTCTAACGGTCAAAATATTTGAATTTTACACTTGATGCACCGATGCACCTAGGGTATACATCGATGCATGAGACGCTCCCAACTGATTTTATTAATTGCTTTCACACTTAAAACGGCTCTATTGACTCCACTAATCATCCCCAACGTTCAGAAGTGATCCAAGGTGTATTTAAGCAAGCTTAGAAGCCATTGGTCAATAACAAGAAACATCAAGCAACTAGAATCAAGAGAGAATCAAAGAGAAAGCATCAAACCTCAAGTTTGAGCATTTCAAGCCTATTTTTCATTCAATATTTATTTTGCTTTCAAGAACACTTATTGTGCTCAATTGTATTCATTCTTGAGTGTTCTTTTCTTTGTTCTAGAATTGTGCAAACAATCTACCTTGTGAGGATTTCCTTGTAAGTTTGCAAATTTGTATTATTCTCTTTTGGAGAGAGTGTTCTCAAGAATTTGGGGTATAATTCTTGAGGGTTTGTAAGGTTACTCTTTGTCCTCAAAAGAAAGACAAATTAATGAATTTGTGGAAAATCCTTAGTGTGGATAGCTAAGGTAGTGGACGTAGATTTTGGTCGAGAAAGTCGAACCACTCTAAATCGATGTGCAATTTCTTTCCATTTTATGCAAAAGCTTCCACTAAAATTTTTATTGCCAATTCACCCCCTCTTGGCCGATTCCGTCAATCGATTAACTCAACACAATTCTTTTCGTGAAAGATGAAAAGTGGAGTGGCATAATTATCATTACTTTATGTCTAACATAATCAACGAGATCCATTATAAATACTCCGATCAAGAGAAGAGATTTTTTATCTTCATGTTTGTATCTAAACAAATCACATTCTTCCTAACACTATTTTCATCATCATATGATAAAAAATTATGTCAACTGTAGATCATACATCAATTATAAGGGATGAACCACCAACGATAGATAAATTTAAATTTATTTCTATCAACAAATTTAAATTCATATTGATTTTAATTTTCATCTCTCCAAACATATTTTTTCTCACTTTAAATCTAAGTTTAAAATAAATCATCTTTATTAAATCGAATAAAATCAGATCCATTCTAATTCAAAATATATTACCGTCGCTCTAAGTATACCAAAAAAAAAAAACAATGCAATAGTCATAGCATGCTTTTCCGACTTCATTGGCTACAAGTATATCATTGTTTCAGCGGTGGGTTTGGTAGATAAGCTCAACAAATCAGCAGGTGTAGGCAACTCATGACTACCGCACAAAACACGCGTTCCATTCTTTCATTTACGCTGATGGAGATGGTAGTCAAAGCATATAACTTTACTATAGAGGAGATGATAATTTAAGTACGAAAAATTATAAAACAGGACAAAATTCATCTGCCTCCCTTTGTGGCCTACCTGTAATATTTAGACATAGCTTTATACTGGCATCTTTTTTTTTAACTCTACTTGCAATGTTCAACTTCCAAGTGCTTCACTTTCGTCCTTCCCCTTTGCATTCACATGCAAATATCATTCTTTACAGTTGGATTTATGTCTTCGCAAGGCTTATTTTCTTCGGCAATAATGGTCTTCCATTTTGCACTCGAAAATGTTTGAGATCTGCCTCTTTACATGGAAAACCCCAGATTCCCCGTATTAAAATTAATATTTTTGTATCTATAAAAACTGAAAATTTAATTTAATTGTTGATAAATGAATAAAAGTAAACGCTTGATTTTAATTAGTTTTCTGTTTATGAATTGTTGAACTTTCAGGTAAGTAATGTAACATGAATGTTTATTCAGTCTAATTAATTTTTAAGCATGTACAAAATATAAAACCTAAGTTGTGATAAATTAATTTTTATTAAATAAAGAATCGAATCCAGGAAGTGGGAAGCAGTACGATAAGAATGAAGCATATATTTCACTTTCCAGCCCCAAATTCATACCAATCATCAGTCCTGATAGGATAAAAAAAAGAAGGGAAAAACCAGGTTTACCTTCTCTAAAACCTTTACCCCTTTATCTTTATCATTCTACAATACATGCAATAATTCAAGCAATCAAATCTCAGAAAACAAAACCATGTATCAAACACTTGACAAACCCACAATCTATTCTTCTTCTTCTTCTGGTCTTCTTAAACTATTTTCTGATCCCTTGAAGATTTTCTTCCAAAACAAACACATTCTTTTCCCAGTCCTTATATTCTTCACCCTCCCTCTTTCTTTCCTTCTCTTTTCCCTTTCTGTCTCTTCCCGCCCCATCAAACGCCATATTATCCACCTGGAATCCGTCGCACTCCTTTCCCCAACCCGCGTGGAAGCGCAGAACGTCTTAAAAGAATCCCGAGATGAATCATTGTCTCTCCTCCGTCTCAAATTCTTCTTTTCTTTGCCTTCCTCAATTCTCTCTCTTCTCTCCTTCATATCTACTGTCCACGTTACCTCCTCTTCCCCTTCTCACCGTTCCTCCCTTCCCTCCACCGCCAATGCCCTCAAACTCGCTTGGAAGCGCGTTGTTGTCACCTCCACCTGTTCCTACGCTCTGCTCTTTCTCTATGTCCAACTCCTACAGCTTTTCTCCGTCGTCTTTCGAAACCAACCTCGGATAAGCTTACCCATTTCGGTAATCGGGGCGGGTTTCGAAGTTTACTTGATGGGGGTGTTGGGGTTGGGTCTGGTGGTCTCGGCATTAGAGGAAAAATTCGGCTGGGATGCGTTTCGGTTCGGATCAGAGTTAATGGCGGGTAAGAGAGCTTGGTGGTGGTGGGTTACTTGCATGTTGGTGGTGATCTCGGGATGGATCGGGAACCGGATCGAGAAGTTAACGGAAGGTGAAGATTTAGTTAAGTCGGGGATCTGGACGGTGGTGGTGGGTTGGGAAACGGTGGCATTATGGTGGTCTTACGGCTTGCTGGTGATTTGGAGTTCTATGGTTACTACTGTTTTTTACTGCGACTGTAAACACCGGCTCGACAAGGGTGAAAATCACAGCCCGATTGGTACGGATTTGACTGAGTATACAGTGTAAAATTTACCAGGGGAATTTCGATTTATTTTTAGATTGTTTTCGTGCATACAGCGAAAGATATTTATTTGCTTTATGATTGACCTAATTTTATTATTATTAGCATTATCATCATCACCGTAAAAGAATGGTTCAGAATTATGTAGAATGAATTTGTTTGATAATAACTCTTTTGTTGATGTATTTGTTTGGTGGGTCGGGGACTAAAATTTTACTATGATATTTTTATGGGATAATATATACAATTTCATTATCTACTTAACCATTATAATAGCTTATTGAATAATTAAACACTTCACTTGCATTATTACTTACCAACCAAACTTAACATTAAAATTCCAAACCATTTACTCTAACACCGAAGACCCAGTTAGACTAGCATGTGAATTTTTTTTCTTTTTCTTTTTTCTCAGTTTTAATGTTTCATCTTAATTAATTCAGATCGATTTATTTTGTATATTTAGTTTTAGTGGGTGTGTTTAAATTAATCTTTCTTAAACCAACCACTTTTAATAGCATGTGAAACTTTTAATTAAATAACTTAAACCAATCTTTCTTAAACCAACCACTTTTAATAGCATGTGAAACTTTTAACTTGGATGAAGTGAATCATAAACTTAAAATAAAGGCAAATCATTTTCAACACCACTAACTTTTGTTTTCTTTTTATAATAATGATTTAATACAAAAATAATTGTCTAAACTTTGCTTCAAAAAATATTTTAGTGCCTAAAAAAATTTTCGTTAAAAATAGGTGTTTAACGTTTTCTTCATTGTACTTTTAGGTGTCCAGACGTTAATTGTCATTAAATTTGATCGTTAAGTGACATGTGTCACGTTATGATAATTTTAGAAATTTTATTTTTAAAAAATGAAATTATAATTTTTTATTTTAAAAACCCTTTTTTCAAATCTTAAAAGAAATCCCAAACTTCTAAAACTTTGATTTAAATCTCTTTTCCACCGCTGGTCGTTACCAACGCCTTTAATCGATCGGATACCCAACGACGTGTGACCAGTTATCCACCCACGACCAAAAGCCTTGTTAAAAATAATGCCTCGTGTGTATTATTATTCAGCTAAACTTCAATTTATAATACACTGTACAAGCAATAACACAAGAACTAGAAAATAATTGCTTCTACCAAACTCTTAACAGCCTATCAACTAACTTCTAACAAACTAACTAATCATATGCTATCTTAACACTCCCCCTCAAGTTGGTGGGTGGAAAACATTTGAAACTCCCAACTTGGCTGTCAAATACTCGTGCTGTTGTGTTCCAAGTGCCTTTGTTAAGATGTCTACATGCTGCTCCCTTGAGGAAATGTGTTATGTAGTGATGAACCCTTCTTGAATCTTGTCTCTAACAAAATGGCAATCAATTTCAATGTGCTTCGTTCTTTCATGGAAGACTAGATTAGAGGCAATCTGCAACGTGGCTTTACTGTCACAAAACAACTTGGCTGGTTGATCCTGTTTCACTCCTAGTTCACTTAACAATCCACTTAGCCAAACTAATTCTGCTGTAGTCATAGCCATACTTCTATACTCAGCTTCAGCTGAAGAACGAGCCACTGTGTTCTGTTTTTTTTACTTCCACGAAATCAAGGAATTGCCAAGTTTTATACAATATCCTGTTACAGACTTGCTTGATATTGGGCAAGTTGCCCAATCATAATCACAAATGGCAATAAGATCACATGTGCTTGAAGAGTCCATCAAAACTTCCTGCCCTGGATTCTTATTAATATATTGAACAACTCTCAAGGCTGCTTCCATATGCTCCTTTCCAAGCTGATGCATGAACTGATTTAGATGTTGTACTGAATAGGCTATGTCAGGCATGGTGTGAGTTAAATATATAAGCATGCCTATGAGTCTTTGATATTGTGTCTTGTCTATCATACTTTCTTCATTCTGCTTCAAGCATTTTGTATCCGGAACAACAGAAAGTTTATTATTTTGTTCCAATGACATTAAAGCAGGCCTTGCTCCTATGTCCTACTATCTTTTATTAATTCTAATGCATATCTGCGTTGATTTAATACGATCCCCTTCTCTGACCTCAACACTTCAAGTACAAGGAAGTATCTTAATTCACCCAAGTCTTTCATTTTGAACTTAGAACTCAGTATACACTTGAGCTCCTCTATCATATCAGTATTACTTCTAGTGATTAGCAAATTGTCTACATAGACCAATACAATGACCAACTTGTTTGCTACTTGCCTTGTAAACAACGAGTAATCATGCTTACTTTGTTGAAATCCTGCTGATATAAGAGCTTTAGAGAACTTCTTGTTCCATTATCTAGAAGCATGCTTGATTCCATATAGAGACTTTTGCAGCCTACAAACCATATGCTCCCCCTGGTTGGAAAAGCCCTCTGGCAACTGTATGTAGACTTCCTCAACCAAATCCCCTTGCAAATATGCATTGTGAACATCCATTTGCCACAACGACTAGTCAAAGATGGAAACAAGAGCCAAAATCAGCCTCACAGTGGTGAGTTTAGCAACAGTAGAAAAGGTCTCCACATAGTCAACACCCTCTTTTTTATTGTACCATTTGGCCACTAACCGAGCCTTGAATTTTTCCACCTCACCCGAAGCATGATACTTAATTTTATAGACCCAGTTACAACCAATGGGAACTTTACCAGAAGGCAAAGGTACCACAGTCCAAGTATTATTTAATTCCAATGCTTGAATCTATTTTCTCATGGCCTGCTATCATTGCGGGTTTTGAAAAGCTTAAGTAGTAGATGATGAAGTGGATTGGCAAGTGCAGACATAATCGTTTAACTAATTTGGAGGCTTAGAGACACGAGAGGAACGTCTAGACATAACTGAATCCTGTGCTAAAGGAGGGATACTAGTATGAGAATGACTTATTGAAACATCAGATGGACTACCAGATGCACCTGTTGAGAAATCAGAAGGAGAAATGGAAGGGATAGGTGACATAGTATGAAATTCTTGTGAAGAATTTGAAGAATTATCAACATGAAATAAATTAGTTGGTAGTGAAGAATCAAGGATTAAAAATCAGAATCCGGAATATGAGAATGTGAAGGAAAAAATGAGAAGATTCCGAAACAGGAAAATGAAAGGGAAAAATAAGTTCATGGAACACAATATCTCTACTCATAAGAAACTGCTTTGATTGAAGACTAAAGAGAAGATACCCCTTTTGAGTTGAAGAATATCCCATGAAAACACAAGGAATAGCCTTAGAAGAAAACTTGTCAAAGTAGTTTAGTTTAGTAGCATAACATAGACACCCAAAAACCCTTAGATGAGAAAGATCGGGAACTCTATGGTGAAGGACTTTAAAAGGAGTTTTGAAATTCAAAATAGAAGAAGGTAATCGGTTTATTATATAGCAAGTTGTAGTAATACACTCTCCCCAAAACTTAATAGGAACTTTTGAGTGAAAACGAAGTGCCCTTGCAACTTCGAGAATATGCATGTGTTTGCGTTCAGCAACCCCATTTTGTTGGGGTGTCTTAACGTATGAGCTTTGATGAAGAATTCCATGTGAACTAAAAAATTCAAAACACTGAGAATTAAAAATTTTAGTGCCATTATCACTACGAATGATTTGAACAATGGCTTAAAATTGAGTTTTTACAAAAGTGATGAATTTTTTAAGAGAGATAACAGTGTCACTTTTCAATCTCAACAAGTGCACCCAAGTCATACGAGTAAAGTCATCAACTATAGTTAAAAATACCTATGACCACTATGTGTAGCAATTCGATAAAGACCCCATAAATTTATATGAATGAGACTAAAAGGAGCTAGGGAAGAGGTGAGGCTAACAGGGAATGTGAGTCTAGCTTGTTTTGCTAAAGGAAATATGGGATAAGAGTGTAATAACTTGGAATCCAATTTAACAAAATATAACACAAATAGTTTATTCATGGTCGAAAGAGCAGCATGCCCCAAATGAGAGTACCAAAGACTTGTATTATTACCAGAAACAACAGTCATATATTCAGATACATGACTACAATCAAGCAATTTTGAATCACAAGACAAACTAGAGGAAACACTAGAAGACTGCACATTTGAAGAAGTATGTGTAGGTGACAAACCAGTAGGTGAAGCTGATGAATGAAAAAAATAAAGCACTCTAAACTCTTTACCAATCCCCTTCATCCTTCCACTTGAGAGGTCCTGCAGAATACAAAAGTCAGGATAAAAAGTAACAGAACAGTGCAGGTCACGGGTGAGCTTTGAAATGGAGAGTAAATTGTGAGTAAAATTTGAGATATATAACACATTAGACAATTTTGTGGTTGAATTTAGGAAGCATGAACCAACATATTTAATTGGGACAGTTTTACCATTAGGTAATTGAATTGACCGGGAGGAACACAAGATAGGAGAATGCAAGCATTGTAAATCAGATAATATATGATCTATAGCACCTGTATCTAAGATCCACGTTAGAGATTTACTAGAGGTAGGTAAACAACTATCAACAATACCTGCAAGATTCACAACAGAATCAACCGAAGCAGCAGAGGACAGAAGACTAACGATATGGTTGTATTGCTCCTGAGTAAAAGTAGGTGCCAAGGGAACCGATAAATGCGTCTTGTCAGAGGCATCAGCAGGGTCGGAGGCAGTAACAGGTTCAGAGACAACTACGGTAGCCTGGGCGTTCTTGCGTTAGAGAACTTGAAATCCAGTGGAAACCTTATAAGACGATATCAACTATCTCATTTGTGACCTTTGATCTTGCAATAGTCACAAAACCCTTAAAACCGACGACGATCAGGAGTCCCAGAGCTTTTGGAGTAAAATACTGATGAATCGAGACTGGAATGTACAACTGAGAGCTGAGCTCGCTGAGACTTCCCTTGAGCAATCATGGAGTACACCTGGTTCACCGAAGGAAGAGGCTGCATCAGTAGAATTTGACTTTGAACCGACGAATAGGTCTCATTTAAGCCCATCAGAAATTGAAGAAGTTGTTGCTGAGCAAGGTGCCTGGAGTACTGCTACGAGCTTGCACACTCACATGATGAAATTGACACAAGCGTAACATATTCATCCCACAATATCTTCAGTCTAGTGAAGTAAGTTGAAACACTCAACTCACCTTGAGAGATGGTGGCTATTTCGCGATGGAGGAAGAAAATTCTTGAACCGTTAACTTTGTCAAAGCGTTCATTCAAGTCGTTCCAAACCGAAGTCGCATTTGAGGCGAAAACGATGACATCCAAGAGCTCCCTACTCACGGCGTTGAGAATCCAGGACAATACAATGGCATTACAACTCTCCCACTGAGGATGTAAATCAAGATCATAGTGCTCATTCTGGCAAGCACCATCAACGAAGCCGAACTTGTTTTTTGCCAACAGCGCGATGCGCATCGATCTGCTCCAGATGTTGTAGTTCTCTAATCCAACTAGCTGATGATAGATTATCGGAGTACCAGGAGTGTCTGATGGATACAAGAAGAGAGGATGATTAAAATCAATCGTATCTAATTCGTACATTGGAGGCATGGTAATGGAGATTGTCGAATGAAATCCCTAGAAAACTGATTTGGGGAAAGACGATGGAGAAGAGAGTTGTTGTGGAATGAGACCGAGCCAGACTTACTCGATTTAGAAATGGGCCAAGCAGAGTAACCCAACAAGGAACAACCTGGAAACTGATACCATGTTAAAAATAATGCCTCATGTGTATTATTATTCAGCTGAACTTTAATTTATAATACACTGTACAAGCAATAACTTAAGAACTAGAAAATAACTGCTTCTAACAAACTCCTAACAGCCTATCAACTAACTTCTAACAAACTAACTAATCATATGCAGGGGCGTGGCTTGGGCGACGCAAACTGCGCGACCGCGCAGGGCCCCCAAAAAATGGGGGCCCAAAAAAGTATATATATAGTGGCGTTTTCCCAATAAACGCCACTATAGATGGACTTATTGCGACATTTTTTCAAAAAAAACCATTATTATTGCGCAACCTAAAAAATGCCCAAAAAAATATATATATATATAGTGGCGTTTTCCAATAAACACCACTATAGATGGATCTATTATGACTTTTTTTCTTCAAAAAACGCCACTATTGTTGCCCCGAAATCGAATATATCTAAAAAATAGGGCCCCTTTATAAGAATTTATATAGGGCCCCCGAAAACTTAGCCACGACCTTGATCATATGCTATCTTAACAAGCCTATACTTTCGCAATCAATGAAACACCCAAAAATGGTGTAAAAAAAATTATTTTAGGGTTTTGAATCCAAAAAAAATCCCTTAGATCGATTATGGTAATCGGTTGTTTGATCGGATGTAGTGGTTGATCGTTTTCCGTTTGGTCGATTGTTGTAGGAGAAGGGAGAAAAAGGGGAGAAGAGAGAAAAAGGGAGGAGAGAAGATGATGCACTATTATGTTCTTTTTTCTCTCTGTTTTTTTTAATATAAAATATTTTAAAAAAATCAAACATGTCAAAACGTAACCCAAGTAATTTAACGGTAATTTTTAACGACGGTTAATGTACACGCTCCTAAAATGGTAACGTAGAAAAATTTAAGCATCTATTTTCAACAAAAAAAAAATTACAAACTAAAATATTTTTCAAGACAATTTAGATACCTACTTTTATATTAATCCTATAATAATCAATAGCACTAACATGAATCATTTCATTATATCATTTAAAATTTATTTGAAAATGTTTTTTTTATATAAAAAGTGAGAGGAATCGAATTCCTTTAGACTGGGATAATATAAAAAAGGAATAATACTTTGTCCTTGGATTTGGGACGTGTAAAAACGTCGCTTTGCCACGTTTCCACTCTCCAACAAAAGTGTCTTGTACTTCACGTCTGTCCTTTCTTTTTCAAGATACAAGAATGATCACCCCATTTCATTTTTATTCACCTTTTATCCTGAAATTTAAAAAACTTATATTTCTGTCACTTATAACTTCAATTTATTATATTTTAATTATTTACGTTATCAATTAGTTATATTTTAGTTGCTAAGTTAACGGTTAGTTTCGCGATGTAACATGTTAGTAAAGAGAATTAATTTTTAATTTGAACCTTAAATTTTAGATAAATTAATAACTTAACCCTTAAACTTCAAATAAAATACTAACTTTACACTTAAATTTATATTAAATATCTTTAAAATTTCTACAAAATATCAACTTGATTATTGAATTCGCCCAATGCACATACTATTATCGTCGGTTAGCGTAAATTATTGTCATTAACGATCGTTGAATTCTAAAATTTTTAATTTACTTTTTTTAATATCTTAAACGTGAATTTAATGTGTTTTACTAGAAAATGTCTCCACTTGATATATTATGATAAAAAGTAAGATTCGTGTAATGCCCTCCTCTCTTTCTTCACTTTGGATTCTTTATTCCCAAATATTGCATAACTCACAAAACACCATCTCTGAACTCATCGACATTTGAGATATATCAAATGTTTATGAATTATTTTTAATTTGTAGGTTGTTTTTCTATTCCTTGTTTGCTTTCAATTAGTGGTTGAAATTACTTTTTTCCCCAGAGAAATAATAGAGTTTTTTTGAATGTTTATTTGCTTATTTTAGGGACTTTGGTACCTGGAAGTTCTGTTGATTCACAAGGTTAGTAAAGTTTCTCGATTCAAGAAGAAAATCCATATATACAAGAAATTACTCTCTTTTCTTTTATCTATAAAACCAACAATTTTCTTTTAAAAAGCTACCTTTCATTTGAAAAATAAGTGGGTTATAATATATCATCTAATATATATACATATCAAAGTTTTTGTTAACTAAATTATGCAAGATTATATTTGAAACATAACATTGGTGATTAAGATATTTGTTGCTATCTTTTTAAATTTTAGATTCGAACACGACATATATAAATATATAAACATTTATATAAAAATCTTTTGACATACGTTGTTTTGTATTAACCCATATTAATATATAAAAAAATAATACGTACTCCTGAGTTGAATTCAAATTGGGCTGGATAATTCATAGTGAGCTAAGGGCCGGATCGTTCCTAGTGAGCTAATGATACAAATCATTATGTTTTTTTTTTTGACTCGTTAGGTTAGGCAGAAAAATTAGTTGGTCAGTTAAAAAGTTATTTTTTAATCTACGGTAAAAATACAAGATAAATTCATCACGTGAAAATAATTAATTCTGATAAAATATATTTTTTATTAAAATTTATTACGTCGGAGAAAAATTTTGAATAAATAAAATTCGTTGCAAATTGATGCTTCACTATCCTGATTATTTATGGAAGCAAAATTTCTCTGGTAAATTATTTAGAAGGGCAACGCTAAGGGGTCGCAAATATATTAAAACGGATAAAGAAGACGTAGGAATTAAAAAAAGAAAAGAGTCGGGGAGATATGATGTCCTCATATCTGCAACCACAGCCTTTCGTCAATGGAAGTCTCCTATTTTCCTCTTCTAACCTTCAATTTCCTCATCGCTCTCCCACCATCTTCAGGTCAACTTCCCCCTACGTTTTCTCTATTACCCACATCTCCTTTTGCTCCTTATTTTCTTCCATTTAATTTTACTCTCGTGTTACCGGTGGTTTTTTCCTCTTCTATTTTTACGCTCTGGGTTTATCATAATTTTGATTATAATATAACCCGTGAAAGTAGCTGCTTCACTATTTCGATCAAGCTAATACTCTAATGCTTTGTTTAATTGATGCTTCACTATCCTGATTATTATAAAACCGTTGTGTCGATGATTGATGAAAGGGAAACTGTGAAACGGGTTTATGCTAAAATTCGTTGCTAATTGACTATGCTCTTGGACCTCTTGACTTAGCTTTGTGAAATCGATAGTTCCTTTGCCAACGAAGACGTTATTTTCCACTCTTTGCTGAAATAGTTTAGTTAAAAGCAAAAGGTTTAGCATATGCATTGCGCTTCATATAGGTGCTCTAAGATTTCTGACACGAATATTGTTGGGAAACGTTTTTAATTTAACGTGTTAAAACCTCTGTAATTATCCACGTTATGTGATAAAATTTAATGTGATAACTCCCGATTTGTATCTTAGGGCCATTTCAATTCTACAATTTCGATCTATTTTCAGGTGGAGATCTGGAAGAGACCAAGGTTCAAATCTAGTTACCAGTAGAACCAAGGGCCAAGCATTTCAAATCTTGGCCAATCCTAATGTATGCTTCAATCAAGGCTTCTTCATGTATATTGCCAGTATATTTGGTTTTTTGATTATGGTCAAAGATTTGTAGGTATGTGATTATTGATTTGGTGAATAAGTGCTTCATGGTAGTAAAGTTCTCCATGTCTAGATGAGTGTAGAAGTAAAACCTGAAACTGTGGCCTTATCATTGTGTTATGACTTGATTTTTATATCAGTTGTATGGAGATAGAAATGATATTTTATTTTTTTCTGTGCTTGTTGAAAATCGTCTATGACCAAATGTTTTCTAACTACATTTGGCTTTGTTTCTTTGCATCACTCATGGCTGTAAACCATAAATTAATAAATGATTGGTATCAAATAAAAGTTCTAAAGAAGATATAGATTATGCTGTTAATAGCTTAGTCAGGAAAGCACTGATTGTGCCTGTAAATGATGTTAGTTATTCAATCTGTTATATGCAATGTCTAACACATGAGAATCAAGCAATTCAAAATATTAAGTTAGTTTATTAAAACATTATCTGTGTAGTTCAGAATCAGGTAATTTAATGCCATGCCTTGTTACTTGATTTTGTTCACCTTTTATTTTATTGGCAGAAGATTCTTTACTGTATTAAGATCCCTTTAAATGGGTTGGGAGTTGCAACCTATCCACTATACTCATTTTCTCTTGTCATTTATTTTCATGTAATGCAATGAGCTTGCAGTTTGGAGAGAAAAAATAATATTATTTCTTCTTCCACAGTTCTCTTTGTATGCCACATATTCAACTGCTAGTAATTAAAAGAAAACATACTACTTTTTATATCAAATTGTATTTGATCGTTATTTTTTTCCCCTTTTTCCTTCTTTCTTTCTTTTCCATTTTGTATCTAATAGGTATCTTCAGGTAAAGGAGATCCGGGTAATGAAGTCATCATGGTTGACCCTTTGGAAGCAAAACGGTTAGCTGCCAAACAAATGGAACAAATTAAGGCTAACGGGAAAATAAAGGTAAAGGGGATCTTATTGTAATGAGAATTTAGCATATTTTCTCTTGTATATTCATATGGTATTACTAAGAATAAATTGGTGGCATGCAACTCCCCGTTGAATTTCTAATAGAAAATTTTGTATTTAACAAATTTTACTAGAACCTCTGGTCGTCCCTTCATATTCTGCTTGCAAGTGTGATATTCTGAACGTCAACTCTTTCCAAGTGTGGTATTCTGGTGAGCTATGGTTTATCCAAGCTGCTACTTAGGGCCCGTTGTATTTTTGTCAACAATGTAATTTTGTTTTTACAAGTTTATGAGAAGACTGAATGCCGTAGTCATAGGGCATGATTTTGCATCAAAATGCTTTCTTAAAGGTGTTGTCTGGAACTATTCTTGTTCTTTAGAGAAGACGCCAAATCGAAGCAATTAATGGGGCATGGGCAATGATTGGTCTCACAGCAGGCTTAGTTATTGAAGGACAAACAGGCAAAAGTATTCTTGAGCAGGTAAACTGAAGGAAACAGAATAACTCCCCTTTCATTTGGCTGCATTGCCGATACATTACTCATTGATTTTTTTGTTTTAACTCAGCTGGTGGGGTATTTATTGGTGATCATCCACGTTTTCGTGCGATAGCCTTGTGGGCTCTTTGGAAAATTTGGGAGGAGTTGGGGTCGATATTGAAATTATTTTTTTTAACTTCAAACATGTGAGGATTATCAAACAGTTCTTTCATCATGTTGACTTTGTAATTTTTTTTATTTGTATGTCACCAGGTTTCCACGAATCTGTTTATAACAAATGTAATCATTCTTTATAGCAAATGGCATCATTATTTCTTCTAGCGCAAATTACTCCTTGCTTTGTATAATTAGGCATCAGGTTCTTCATACCAGGTTTTCCAGGGTCTTACTGTGTTTTCAGTTAATGGTGATAGTGAGATATACTTGGAGTGATTCTTTTTGTTAGTAAATGATTTTAGACGTAGAATTTTTTTGACCATGTCAGTGTCTGACACGTCCATACGAGACGCTTCTGAAATCCGGTTAAGTTACGTGTTATGTATGCTTTTGAATTCCACGGGGTCATTGTCTCTGGTATATTCTGTTGTATAAGTTCCCAATCACCCTGAAATATAATTGTGGCTGCAGAGCCAGCATATATACAAGATAAATCCAAATTCAAACTTTATGCTCGAAAAAAGGGGAACAAATGTAGTTGGGGTATTTTCACAAGCATCAATGTTGAACCTGTCGGAAAAACTCGGTCTTCTTATCCTCTACTCCTCAACTGCTACCTCGTTCAAGGGCCATACCTGTCAATTTCGTAAAAGTCAATGTTCTTGTACTTCTGAGATATAATCTCTGCTTGAACTTTTCTTGCAGTATTGGTTGCACATCCCACAAGAATAAGAACTGAAGTGCCTGCAAATCCTCGGAATGCAGTCAAGTGTGTTGTTTGCTCAATCACGGAAAGACCAGCAGCTAGGATTGCAAAAAAAATACCGAACCTAGAACTGATATCGGCTAAGAACCTATATACCTGCAAACATGATTCCATGGAAAAATAGGAATGTTGTTAAGTTCGAACTACAGTTTAAATTCAGCTAAAACCCGTTTTCAATACATTACATTAAAATTACTTCAAGACACTAAGCCACTAATGACAGTTTATTTTGAGAAAAGCAAATTACTGTCTTTGGATAAGCTGCGGTACTTTTTCCAGGTCGGACCAGTGGAATTGAAGCACCTTGCCGCTTCAGTTGTTCGCTAACATCATCAGGGTCCAATTGTAGAAAAGTGTAGTAGTAATTGAAGAAGGCTACAACAAGATATTGGTAGGAAGGTAGAGAGAACCTACAAACATTTACAAGGAATTCACTAGAAGCACCCTTATATTTATGACTTACCACTATTTGTGTCAATGCAATCTATTCGGAGAAGACAAAATATTACACGATAACTGGCCGTTTCTCTCAGAAAATATAACGGACTATAGAGCCAAGAAATCTCTGGTATCAATCCAGTATAAATTTTCATTCTTTAAGAACTTCTAAACCGTCAAAATAGTCTTACCTCCAGGATTCAAAGCCATTGCAGCCTTTTTTAGCACAGATATTCCAGTAAATCTTGCCCAAGTACCAGGAAGCGCAAGGGATGACGTAGAAAATATAATTGGTATCACTCCAGGACTGTTTACCTGGTTTGCCATAGCAATTGAATTGAATACAAAAACTAGACACTACATGTCGAAGATAGGGCAGGTACAACACCCAGAGAGAGTGTGAAGAACAAAATTACCATCACAATGTCAGAAACTTCGCTACCAATTAAATAAATGTAAATATTTGAGTTCAATCAAACACTACGAGGTTAGCAACTGAAATTTTAACAAGTTAAAAACTGTCATCAAAGATGATGGAAAGATTAACTAGCTAGATATGAATAAACACCTAATATTCAAAACTGTATTTATCAGAAAGCATGGGGACAGTAGGAAGAGAGAGAAAGAGAGAAAACTTTTCACAGGAAATAGGTACACAACTTCCAGAGAAATGATGACAGTGGTCAGTGGTAAAGGGATGGAGAAACAGCTACTTTCTACAGAAACTAACAAGCAACAGGAAGAACTAGATAGGCCGCTTCACGCTATCTACATTCAGCTAGACATGTTCTGAATAAGCTGCATAATATATGTTTATTTGTACAGCAATACGTGGGGTTACCAGTCTTCAACATCTAAGGTTAACAGAGTGCCTTGTAATTTCATCAAGAAGAAAATTGGTGGGAAGAATGCCAGCAAAGCACCTCTTGCTACTTTTAAGTTGCTGGTAGTACCAGACTCAATAGAATGTGGTTAAGGATCTAACAACTATATCTTTATTTTTTCCGGTTATTTATCATCCAGCCATACAAAATCTTGACAAATATGTTAACATACAATCTCCGAAGCCCAAATTATATGAAACTCAAAGTACACACCTCTATTGAGGATATGCAATTAAAATTAACTGCAAACTCATGGCTAAACAACTTGAAAGCACAGTTACAATAGAAGAATGATAAACACGTGATCTTTGTATATAAGATGCACCTACGGAAACACCTTAAGTTATTTCAAAGCTTTCTTTATAGGAAATCCATTTTCAAAGACATGATCAACATGATAAGAGTACAACATTGTCATTAAGATCACAAGCCTTAAGCAAAACAGGTTTACCTGTACTTCAGCTACCTCTCAATGGACTACAATAGTGAATGATGATGGAGATTATGCCTCAATAAAAGAATATCAACCCTAAGAATTAGTACGAGCACCTAGGGAGCTCGAGTTGGGTTTTGGGTGGACAGTTGAACTAGCTCTGCAAACCTAGTTTCTGAGTGTTGCAACTGGTTTGGGATAAGACAGGTTGAAGGACAGAGGCCAAGAAGAAGCTTCTCTGACCGTTATCAACAGTATCCTATAGTTTGGATCAACAGATTTTCTGGGTCTAAATCTTATAATAACAAGTGAAAATGTGAAATTCATTAGTGGCAAGGGCTCCTCTTCGGTTTGTCCATGGATTTTACTATGCAGACCGACAAACCAATACAAGAGTTTTCTCAGTGTTGGCTCAAATTGAGCCCACAGACCAACCCATTGTATTTTTAAGCTGAACAGTATATCCCACTCTCATAGCATCTAATAAAACACGGATTTTTTAGGCCCAATACCCCCAAGCCGGTCAATTTTTTAGGATATTGGGCCAACAGACGAGTTCCATCAGATATTATTTTTAAATTATCCCGAGGTAGTGGGTTTCACGTGAACTATTATTTTATTGTCATTAAAATGACTCGTCACGCCAAGGTGACGAGTCTACTAAAAATTATTTTTTTAAAATTAAAAAAAAAATTATAAATTAAAAAAAAATTAGGTGGAACTTGTCACCTCGACGTGAAGAGTTCCTTCAAATTCAAAAATGCTAGCCGTTGGTCAATTGGCAAACGAGGCAATGGTCAACAACGGTCACTTGGAACAGTCACCTCGAGGTGATGAGTCCGACAGGGGAAAATTTAAAAAAGAAAATTGAATTTATTTATATTTTACAAAGTACAAAGTAAATAAATAATTACAAGAAACAAATTTTTACACAAAAATTAAAAAGAAAATTTATTTATATTTTCTAAGTTCTTGGCGATGCCGCGGAGTGGTCGAATGATAATGCTACAGGGCTCGTCGAGTACGACGGGGTCGTAGACCTTCATCGTCGTCGCCGTCTGGTCGAGGAGGTGTACTCAACACATTTTGCGATCCATCTTCAAAATGCGGTGATGGATTTATGACATTTGACGCCATCATTGTCGTAACTGCTTCGACTTGGCTGTTACTTTGTTGACCATATAAGATATGGTCTCACTCATCTACAACCGCATGTTATGTCGAAGATGTTTGAGTGTATTGTGGTGCATCCCATGAACCTCCAACCTAATTCGGTCGAGTCTCGACTGAAGTATGAAATAAATGATAGAAACCGAAACTAGTATGAGATGCATAATAGTACCCTTCAACTGTTGATACTGAAGCGGAAAAAGAAAACGACAATGCTTCCTTCTTGGACTTGGCGCATGTAGCCTGATGATGTTTTCATTCTCCCCTCTCTTCCAGTGTCGTGAGATATGGTTTCCCCATTTGCTTCGTAAGTTAAGAGATATGGAGAATGGTCGAAATCTAGGTTCAGCGGTGCAATGTTGTCACGCGGGGGGAGCAATAGTTCACGCTGATTTCATTATGTTTCTCACGCGTATCGATTGTATGGAGTGCATCCATATTAACCATTTGAGTAGGAATCAGCTGGTGCGACACAAACTGTCGCATCACTCTATTAGCGGCGTGCCACTCAACAATCGCTTGGTGTAATAACAACATCACGACACACCATAAGTGAGACCCCTCAAAAAATCACGTCGGTAATAACGGGTTGATCTCGTCGTCAACATACGAAAGCCAGTAGAACTATAAATATTAAATATAAAAGTTAGTATATATAAAGTTAAAAAATTTCAAAAAAATAATAATTTCGTATGTCATACCGCATATCGATCGGCGATATCGATCCTCATCCGTATTTCTCGTGCAGTGACACCTGCCAACTTCATCTCCGATATTTTATGACGTAATGTAAAGTATTTAAAAATAAAAATATTATAAACAAATAAAAAATAAATAAATTTATGAAATTCAAAATAAGTTAAATAAATGAAGTTAAACAATTGCCTTGCAACCCGCGAAAACTGGACCGAGGCTGGTGTAATTGGCGTAAAAAAATGAGAAGAGATACCAAGCTCAGGATTGTAGCAGTACTAGACAGCCTGCAAAGCTCTAGATACATAAAGGCTAGAATCGCCGAGCCCCAATTGGTATTACGACACACAAAGAAATCTTCCAAATATTGCAGATATTGAGTGTGCGCCAAATTACCAGATTTATCCGGTAATAATATTCCTTTGATCACTTGGAGAAGAAATGCTCGGGACGAATAAAATAACCTCCGCCTCGATAGACTCGACAGTCATTTGGAATCTGGACTCCAACCATGTTATCATTACCCTATAGCCCTTGATGACGTCAGATGGTGGCCATTTTCCCAAAACTTGGTAGACCAATGTCGTGGGGTCGTAAATGTCCTGCCTCACCACAGAGGATCCATTCACAGGAACACCGAGTTGGTAAGCGACATCTTCCAAATTAATCGTCGTTTCACCACTTGGGAAATGGAACGTGTATGTCTCGGGCTGTCAACGTTCGATCAGAGCCTCATTCAACGCCAGGTACAACTTGAAGCAATGTAAAAATATGACCGAAAATAGACAAAATTGATGCATATATGTCATCATACGTTGATGCGGCTCTCTGTTATCATCCCTCACTTATAAATATTCCATTCATCGTCATCTGTATGGCTTTGGATCGACGAAACATGGGTGTTATCTAGGCGCAACATATATTCTCGGGTTGTCATTTTTTGGGATTTTCGCACAATGTATGTTTTTTTTAATTTTTTTGAATTCATGGTTTGGTGAAAAACCAAAACTCAAACCCCTATTTATAATCTTACCCTCAACAAATATAAACAGCTAGAAATTTCAAATTTCCAACCAAACTCGTTACCTCGAGGTGACTAGTTTCAAATGACGATTGTTGATCGTTGCCACGTTTGCCCGTTGACCAACGGCTAGAAAATGACTAGTATTTTTGAATTTGAAGAGGTGACGAGTTCCATCTAATTTTTTTTAAATTTATTATTTTTATTTTTTTAAATATTTTTAATGGACTCGTCATCTCGGCGTGATGAGTTATTTTAACGACAATAAAATAATGATCCACATGATGCCCACTACTTGAGACCATTTAAAAATAATATCCGATGAAACTCGTCACCTCGAGTTGACGAGTTCGGAGTACACAATATAAATTGTCATGTTTTCCAAAATAAAGTCTAGATAGTCCCAATACCCTAAATAATTGACCCGCTTGGGGGTATTGGGACAAAAAAAACCAATAAAACATGTTGGGGTTAATAAAAAAAAAGTTTTTCAACATAGTTTATTCAATGATTATTCTTAAAGCAATACATTATAAATTGAACATTTAAATCTTAATATTTGTCACATTTCTTCCTATTCAAGATTGTGAAGCATTTTGTAAACTTTATCCTGTTGGAATTTAAAATTTATTTTATAATTTTGAAAAGGTCCAGACTGAAAAAAATGGTGTTTCGGGAGCAAACGCCATGCACCAATTAAGGAAAGGGTGTCCCAGTTGGATGGCCACAAAATACCTCAATATGTGATTCCCCATGCCCCAATCCCTCTTTATTTATTTAATATGTTGAACAAAATGTGAGAGCAAAGTTAGTAATAATTAAAATGGAGTAAGGGGGAGCAGGTAAGCATCGTGCTCTAAATCAAAGTTTCTGCACTGCATATCCACATAAAGATGAACAGCAAGAGGGGCATGCGTGTTGTGCTTTGTCATCTACTTGTTTCCTTATTTTTATATTTTATTCTAACCACATAAGTATCTCCCTTCCCAATTATTTATGCCAAAGTGGATCCACTTTTGACTTTAAAACAATTTTAAAATATAATAAGCCCACCAAAAGAATCATGCAAGTGGGTATAGCCATAGATTAGAGGTTACATTAATCCAATCCTTATCTTTTTGTGCTTGTGGAGAGTAGGATAAAACGTGAGATGTCAGCCTCTACTTCTTCATGTTATGGGAATTAGTTAACCTATCCAAGACATTCTTTTTGAAGGGTTTAGTTGTACCATATAATTTTTTATTTTTATTAAATATAAAAGATTATTGTCATTTGGAACACTGACAATAAAAGTTTATAAATTGTGTGAAGATTTATTCGTATATATTTTCAATATTTATTTATTTAATTCAAGAATTATGTATTAATTGATAATATTACATTAATTAAAGGGTCGGGGTTTGTCTTATTGTCATTGCATTTCGTCAAAAAGGCATAAATGCAAAGGCTAGAAATTTGGTAAGAAAGTTGAATGGACCGTCCATATGCTGCCTTTTTTTTTTAACGGTTAGGGATTCTACCCAGAGTGGTTGAGGTGTCTATTCAATCCAAGTGGTTCAGGTGGAGCAGGGCCACGTTGCCATTCATCACCTTTCGGTTTATCTGATATATTGTTTTTGGTAACACGTTTAATCTATATATATTCAACCTCACTGTTGACTTATTTTGAAGCAATGCACTTTGGGTTTTCAAGACATAATTAGTTTAATTTTCAACGCGTATTCATCTTAATTAATAATTTGTATACCATGTTGGTTAGAGTCATTTTCCTTCGCGCATGAATCTAGCTAGCTGGGAATGTGAAACCCTAAAACGGGAATCGAAGAACCCTACCCTCTCTTTCCTTTTGGATATTTTTTTCTCTTCCATCGTCGTCACATTCAGAGAAAGTCGTATCTTCAATAATTCCGCATGTTTCGTTACCTTTAACAAATATGAGATGTAATTGTTAGTATTATTATCTTAAATGCATAATAATCTTTGATTTAGAAATTATAGCATACAAATATGAGATGTGATTATAGAATTATTTTCCTTTACAGAAAGTTATGAATTTATAATAAATATGAGATGTCGTTGGCCGTTTGAAATAAAAAGAGAAAAACGTGTTGAACAGAAAAGAATGGCTGCTTTGTTATCAAATATGATTTTGATATTATCACCTCTCCCATCACATGTTTATTAGAACCCCCCCTTCAATAAATGAAGATTATACAAGTGAAAAAGAAGATGGGAAATGAGCTGGCATGTGTGATTATCATTCCAAATGCTCCACGTGCATGGTTTGTTTTATTAGCTTAGTACTAGAAAGTATATACAAATAATTAAAGATGATTAGCGTCTAAAGCTTTTGTTAGTCTTATCGAATTATTGGATAAAATAAACTTATTTGCAAGTTAATAAGACGGACGTGGAGTGGTTGGATTTCTTTTCTTCATTGCTAAAAAGGCCGACATAGAAAGGAGTAAAGGCATGTAAGTTGTGAGAAGAAAACCCCACCGTCCCTTGTTTGTCTTCTTACCCTACACTTGTAATTAAATTAAATGAAAATACCCTCGTATTTATGTTTCCAGAAAGAAACACAACATATATACGATTGCCAAAATCCTCCACATGGAATTAAATACTATAATGAGGAAATGAAATGAAATGAAATAATATAATAAAAAGACATTTTGTGATTACTTGAACAAAGGGTACCCTTATTCTATCAACATCTCCTCCCCCTTCTAATCAACTCTTTACCTCCTCAAAAACAGTTGACCATATTTACATCTCTATCCATCACAATTCCCAAAATACCAACTGTATCCCTTTCTTTTTCAATTTTCATTACCTTGGCTGAATATTTTTTCTCCCAGTATAAATAAATATATTTTGTTTATATCATATTCCCCACTATCAGAATCCATCATCAACTACCTTCACACTACTGGGAAGCCAATCTCCATTGCTTCGATTACAGGATTCGGAATCAAGTTCGAGTCGAATGACTAGAGACTCCTCTGATGTGGGCAATCGTGTTTTCAGCTGTCGTAAACTCGGGACCAATGCTTTCTCCGTCCATTCTTCTAATCCAGTTCGGCCTATCCATACCCCACTTGTAATCTTGTCCAGAGCTTCATCTACAATTTCAATTGTCACCCTGTTGCCAATGATGCTGTAAAACTTTTTCGTTATCAAGCTGGATATATCGCGTCTGATGGGACCAAAATCGACAGGTTTAAAGACAATGGCCTCATCGACAAAATTTAGCAGCTCATGGGATATTGATGATGATGTTGAGTTGGATAACAGCCTATTTGTCGGGCCTTGTTCTTCATCATGATCAACTGTGAGATCACTGGAATTGTGTGATCCATCCGCTGCTTTATCATCCTCCGCATCAGCAGCCTCATTAAGATCAAACAATAGAGAACCAGATTCCTTCCTTGGCTTAGTTGCTCTGTCCTCCTCATGGAGCCAACTGGCTCGGCGCTTTGCAGTTTTCTCACTAAGGGATAACCTTAATTGCCAACCTCCGCTTGCTAAACAGGCAAGCTTCTTTTCAACCAGGGAAATGCCATTAGATGTGAAATTAAGATTACCTGGCATCCAATTAGCAGTGAGGATAAATATAACATTTCCTAGACTGATCTCACGACCATGAGAATCAGCAAGTCGACCTCTCTCCATTGCTCGTTTTATGCTGCCTCTAACTAGCATATCCGCTTCATCAAAATCTTCAAGCATTACTACAGAGAAGGGGTTTCTCCTAACTGCCTCCGCTATTTTATCCACCACAGTTTTACCACGGAAATTCACATTGGATTCCCCATCATCACGTCTTGAACCAAGACATATCACAAATGGATGAACCCCACATACTTGATCTGAGAGGGCCAATGCCATCTTCTTCTTCCCAACCCTGTCAGGGCCAGAAAACAATAGCCAAATGTCGCCCTTTGAACCGGTACCCCTCCATTTTCCATTGCCTACTTTACACTGTGTCACTGTTGTGGCCACTGCAGATGCTGCATCCCGCTGCCACCACACCTTCTCTATTAGACCCTTAAGGAGTTTCTTGAAGGACTCAACATCTAACGTGTTCAACAATTTGTTGCTTTGCGAATCTTGCAACTTGTTCTGTGGTTCAGAAGGTATACCGCCCAAAAAGTCCAGCAGATGCTCTTTATTGGTTCTTTCAGGTGTGGTCTCAATGATCTTTGGTCGTCCAAGAACTAGGTCTGTCTTTACAGGGCTTCCAGGTGGGCTACTTGTCCGTTCCACCGGTTCGCTAGCTACTAGATGTCGGTTTAGTTGCAGTGTCTCCTCAATGTTTTTGCTCAATGGTAATTTGGGTTGGAAAGATTGGTGTCCTAGAAGACTTGAATTGTATAAAGTTGTCACCGAGATAGCAGCAGGAGCGAATCTCTCAGAGCCTAGACTAGGCCGATGAAACTTTGGATGGAGATGCAAGCATGTATCATTCCATTTCTTTTGCAATTCTTGAGTCTTCTGAATCCAGATCACCTCTTGATCCTTACTCTGTATATAACATGACACCGTGTCAATAAAGCTTAGATGGAAGGGGAAAAAGATTTACCAGTGCAAATATTCAACACAGAACATACAAAAAGTGATCTAATAAGACCGGGTTTCTAATTGGCTTGAACTAGTTACCTGCGTCTGATCTATTGTTTTGACATCACTATCATGGGCCTTGGCATTCTGTAACCACTGCGGCAATGCTGGGCAAGTTGAGTCTGACCTAATATCAGAGGAGTGTTGCTCAAACTCCTTGGCTGCTAAAAGTTTTGCAAGATCTTGTTTATAATTCTCCATGCATTGTGGGCAGCACCCAGTTTTCCGAGCAGGGTCGGAATTCTCAGAGTGTTGCCTAGGTTTTGCAGTTGTAGCTGCAAGCCCCTTCAACGGGGAAAGGGACTCAACAGAGCGGCCAAGTAGCCCATTGCTCCCAAGCCTGGAAGATAAGAAGCATATTATTACAAGCTAATCAACAATACCCACTGGATACAAAATTGATTGAAACCAGAAAAAGAGTCCCAAACCAACAGTTCAAATTGCAGCATCTAAGTTGAAAATTTGCATAGGAACCAAATAAGGGCAAGCAACACAAAGTCAACAGGAACATGAATGTAAAAGCCTCTTATCAGAACCCTTTTGCATTATACAAGTCCTAAAGCTGACGGGGATTCTTTTTTTTTTTTTTTTATAAATAAGTTTAGATGAGAATCGACCTTTTCCCCGGAATAAAATCCATTAGTAGCACAGTAGCAGTGGAATATATTAACAGAAATTTCCTGATATCCACTAATAATATTCAAGTTCAAATGAATTTCGAAATTTTGAACCTTAACTTTTCCAAACATCATCTTAGCGAATTTAAACTTTACAATCAAAAACCAAAGGCTCAAAATAAACAAGGTTGTTAAAAAAAATACCTGGAAATCATTCCAGGTGAGGGAGCTTTGGCAGCGATAGGAACAGCCTGCAGATCCCAGTCATTCTCCATTGAAGGATGATAAACTTGACATCTCAAATAAGTTTCACAAGTAGCAGTTCCAATCAACCAAACTCTGGCACTCCCTTCTCCAAATCTCCCCAACAGCTTCCTCATCTCAACCACTGTTGCGCGTCCGGCTTCCGATATAGCCTGCTGCTGCTGTTGAACCCCATCGGAAAGACCGACTGCTTGATTGTTCTCCACTAACCACTTCAAGTCACCCAAATCAAGAATCACCCCTCCACAATCCAAGTTCCCAATCATTGCTCCGACTTTAGTGCCCAACTCCTTGATTTTTGCAACCATTTGGGTTTTGTCCAATGCGAAATCTTTCTCCACACGTACCACCTCAACGTTTCTCAAAACCCCATCCATTTCCTCACTCTCAATCTTCCTCAAAATCTCCTTAACAATCGCTTCCGGTTCCGAATCACCGACCAGAACCGGGTTCATCTTCTTACTCCTCGTCAGAATATCAATTACACGCTTCGCTTCTTCACTTCTTTGCTGCCCGGATGCCCCTTGTTGCAATCTCGGATTCAAGTACAAGTTTCGATTGGGGGGAGGCGAGGCAACGGCGGAAACAGGAGCTACGACTGGTCTGAATCCTAATCCGATTGGACCGGCATTGTTGGCTGAGTTTGAAGTCGTGGAGCTCAGTGATTGTTCAATTGTTGCTTTAACAGCTGGGCTCGAAAAACTGGCCTCGCGCATGACTCTACTAACACTTGGATCATCAAGAATCGAGATTATTAATTGTTCCAATTCCACCTTAACAGCCAAAAGCGGTTGCTGTTGTTGCTCGGGACATCCACGGCGCTGATGGGCTTGAGCACGTTTAAGGGCGGCCATCAAGGCATTGGAAATTGGTGGATCGAGCCCCGGGCTGCCACCGCAATTGGAGCTTTGAGCAGCGGGGAGACGCTCCAACGCGACGCTGAAGCAAAGCTCCAAAGCTCGACACTGCAAAGGATGAGAAGAATTGGGGTGGGATTTGATACATGCTTGGCGAAGGAATCCAGAGGGAGACGCAAGGAGCGTCGCCGCCACATGGAGAGGCGTCGTTTGGCCGTGATTCCGACGGCTTGCTTCGGCTATCGAATGGTTTAACACGCTGGCCGCCTCCGGCGTGAGGGTCTGTTGAATCGTGCTTAATCCAGCTCTCATTTATTCTCCTTTCTTCTTTTTCCTCCTTTTCAGGTATCTATATTCCCAATTTTCTATTATCTAAGAGAAAGAAAGAAAGAAAAGATTGTAGAAATGGACAGATTGATACGAATCACCAAAAGAAAGCTTTTGACAGATAAAAATAAGAAATCATATATAGAGAAGCTTAGAGTTTTGGGTGAATATGTGATCTTTTATCTATCTTTGGGTTTTTCTTCAGAAAAACAAAAGGTGTGTATTAGAAAGAAAATTCAACGCGAAAAGGAAACATCAGATCCCCTCCCTCTTTCTGAAGAAACTCCCCTTCTTTTCTCTTTCTGTTTTCTTTTGCTATCTCTTTCTGTTTGATCCATCAATGGCCAAAAATATCAAGCAAATTTAAGACTCTACCTGGCCGCCATACAATTGGGTAAAAAGTAAAACATGGAAAAAGAGAGAGAAGGGGGAAAAAAGTAAAAAAAAATGTTTTGTTTTTATTCGAAAAAGAAAATAAATTTATAAAAATAAGAGAATTGCAAGGAATTCTGAAAAATGCTTTCCGGGCAAGTGCGAAATCTCATCTGCTCTCCATCCCATCCCTTTCACTTTGTTTCTCTAATATAAAGTATTAATCAAATAATAAACTTGTAACTTTCTCTTGTCTCTATCCATTATATATAATAAAGTGAGACAAACACCTCTTTTTAGAGAATATATAAAATTGTTTTGTTTTGTTTTTTTGTTTTTTACATTTTCCCTTCCTTTTACCTCATGAATATAGGGTAGGTGGATCCTGTATTGACACTTTAGGAATCATTTCTTTAACCTTTTGTGCCTTTGTTATTTATTTTATAATACGGTTTATAGTTTTAAATCCTACTTTTACTTCGTTACATCTTAAGAAACGGGACAAGTGTCGTCTATGATTAATGTTTGAAAATAATTATGATGGAATGGGATAGAAAGACTGAGTTCACGCGCAGTGGTGCGAAGAGTTTGAAAGAAATGTACAAGAAGCGGTAATCCGTTTGTATTTTCAACAAATTTTGTGCTCTTTACACCGCAAAACCATCAACGACTTCTACCTTTTTATACTATTAATATTCTCTTTTAATTAAGTTAATGTGATAATAAAATAATATATATATATTTTAAATATTTTTAATCATTTGACAATCAACGTTCAATCGTTCTACTGCAGCCGTTGGTGTTCGAACCCGTAATCTCGAGAAACAATAATAATTTCTTTAACAACTAAATTAAGTTGATTCACCTTCCCTATATTTTATCAATTATAGTGTCAATCATGCATTTTTGTGAATTTGAAACAACTAAACTCTTAGCAAAAAGTAATCGGAAGAAATGGCATTTTACTTCTTTTCAATCAAGTATATTAAATTCGAATTTGAAGTCGTTATTTTAATTTGAAAAATTACTAAAATACCTCAAATAAAACAATAATCTTTTTTAATTGATTGCATCTTATACATGGAGCAATAATTATGTATAACGTAAAATGACAAGGAAATTGACTAAATTAACAAATGATACAATTTCATCATGATGTCTTTTAACGAGTGCTTTTTACCCATGTTTCAAACTTCACTTATTTTTTAAGAAAATATATATTTAAATATTTTATTCCAAATGTATTAAAAACATTAACTTCATTGATATGATAAATTAAAGAGCATCTTGAAGAATAAAATGCGGTCTAATGAATTGTATGGCCAAGTCATTCTAATTTTGTCAAGGTTCTAAAAGAAACTCTAAACGCCGCTTTTTTTTTTTTTATTATACATCTTTGATGAATAGATGACGATATTAATTTTAAAAGTTTATGGCCGTTACAAGTATTTTTTTTTTGTTTTTTTTTATATCTTTTAGTATCGTTGTTTTCATTTAATTTTATTCTCGATATTAGATCTGATATAGATACGACAGATCAAGATGACATTTATTTTTTATCACGTTTGTCTTTCTTGTTTTGGACCTATAGATTGAATTTGAATGTGTAATTTGTGTTTGTGAATAGTTTTATCATGTCGTTCGAGATATTTTATATTTTTTTAATATTTCCTTGTATGATCATTGTGTGATCTTGAGAGATTAATTCATTATGTCTATGATTATAAAAAAAACTATTTCTTTTATAATCTTTTTTTTTAATAAAATTAACTATTTCTATAAAAAAACTATTTTTCATTTTGCAGTAATTAGGAAGTGGAAATATGAGATAACGAAAAGGCTACCTCAATTGCCCTTTTTTAATCCGAGCTGATCTATTATTATAAATTTTATAATCTTTTTTAAATAATCCTATTTAGATGATTATCATGTGCAACAGAATTTTGATTGAACAATGTTGTCGAAAATAGTTCATATAAATATCAATGTTAACAATAAGCTGTACATAGTAAATTTAATGATAAACTTTTTAAAAAAAATATTTTTTATTATAAAATTTGAAATTTCTTTACAAAATAAAGTTTAAATTTTAATTTTGATACAGATTACACAAGTTTAATATCTAAAATTTTAATTATGAATTTTTTATTTAAAAAATAGATTTGAAGTGTTATTTATTAAATTTTGGCCGCCCTGATGCATGCCAATGCTTTAACAATAATAATTCATTATTTTGTTGAACAAGAACAATCATACATTAAAATAATCCTCAAAAGTTCCTTTCTTACTTTACCATACTATCGTATTTTATCTCTCTCTTTCACTTTAAATATTTTTAATTTTTTGAAAGTGGTTGACATGTTTTTTTATTTATATGTATATCAATGTAGATAGACTTTGAATTTAGTTAAAAAGTTATTTTAGCTTATTATCTTGATAATTATAAAATAATAAATAAAAAACTTGAAAATTCACAATCGGTGTACAAAATATGGATTAAAAACCTTCATTCTCTTATGGAAGTCATAAGGGACTGATGTTAATGATATGATTTGTATATATGAATTTTGATCTTTTATGATAATTATTTTAGGGTAAATTATACGTATAGTATCATAATTACTATTTTTATTTCAGTTTGATCGTTTAACTATTATTTTTTAAATATTAGTCATCTAATGTTACGCTTTATTCAACCGTTATTAAAAAATAACAAAATTGTTGATGTGATAATTTTTTTAAATTTTTTTCAATTATGTCGTAGTATTATCTTTTGGTGACACATCATTATCATTGTTGTTTTTTAAAACGATGGGTGACCAAAATGAAATCAAAATATAACCTTAGGTATGATTTTGAAACAAAAATAATTGGATGATCAAAACAAAGCAAAAGTAATAATTGAAGTATTGAACTTGTAGTTTCCTTTATTTATTTATTTTTTAATCAATGAATTCCAACCCATTAATTAAACTCAAAAAATATAACACAAAGTACAAACCCGAAAAACAAAAGGTTAAGGAGAACATCTATAAAAACACACACCACAAAAAGCTAAAATAGCAAAAAAGAAAGAAAGAAATAAAAACAAAAGAAAAATGTAACAACCCCAACCGGTATCTGACCCGGATACGAATCCGATGTATCACATTGATTTTCAAATCGTTTACTTTTAAAAGATAGTTGAAAATCTAAACTTTTAATTATATAAAAATGGTGGAATTCCTTGATCAACGTATATAAAGAAAATTCAAATTCCAATTGAAAATAAAATACTTAATAATTTACATAAATACAGTAAAGTCCGTTTACAAAATGATCAGAGCATATATACAGTTTAACTTTTAATTACATGCCAACCATATTTAATACAACAAAACACATAATGTTAAATCTTTTCTGATCTGATCTTCGGAAGACTTATGCTATCTTGACTCCTAACTTTAATCTTCTTGTTTCTCCGAACCTACGTGTGAAACACTTACACACTAAGTCGTTGACTTAGTGATGCATATAAAATGTATAATAAAACAATTCATCACTTAATCAAATTTTAAGTATTTCATACAATCATGTAAAAAAACTATATAACACATCATATAACAAAATCACATATGCACACACATATAAATATATCATCATCATCATCATTATCACTATCATTATCATTATCAACATCTGTTTTCATCATCATTATCATTATCATTCAGTGTTCATTTATATTTATTATTTCTTTTAAATAGCTCCTGGCACATCATTGAGAACTTAAGGTATGTGAGTGCATTGAGTTTATGCACAAATTATCACCACAGCTCGTATAAATTACACCGAGGTGTCACATAAAAACGCCCCGAAGGACCACGTAGAATTGTCTCTAAGGATCGCGTAGAACCATAGCTCGTATAATTTTGTCGACTCTTGGATTGTCAATTATACCCTTAGCTCCCATATCACATACTTATGGGCTTTACCTTTTTATACCATTTCATATAGCTTATCATGTAGGCATTTATTCACATATACCATTTTCACATTTCACATATTCATATAATCATATAGTTCAATATCACATAAATATATAAGCACATAGATCCTTATCACATAGCTTATAACACATGTTCATATAATCACGTAGGTCAATAATACATAGCTTATATCATATTCCCATATAATCACATAAATCACATAACACATAGATTATGGTCACATAACATATATCATATTTTCAGGTATCACATAAGTAAATGTCACATAGTTTATTTTACCTTTTCATGTAATAACATAGACCAAGTAGAACAGTACGTATAACACATAGACATATGCTTATATTCCGTCACACATAGAAATCATATCACAACATACTAGTATTCATAAATCATGAAATCCAATTATTGGAAATATACTCATCGCAAGTCTTATTTCCCATATCACCATATATTATAATAGTATGTACTCACCTTGGCCTCACTAGTCAAAGCAAAATACTTATAACCATTGCACACTTTTATAAATTCGAACCGTCCGGAACTTGCCTTCGTTCAATATCTACACAATAATACGATTGGTATTAATATTAGAATTCACGTCACTATAATAAATTCTTAATAACATAATCTAAACGAAACACGTAGTTCACAATTTCAATATGAATAGTGTAACACCCCGACCCGTTATCCGACCCGGATATGAGTTTGAGGCGTCACATTACTTTACAAACTTTGACTTTTAAAGAAAACCGAAGAAATTTTAAACTTTCATTAAAATAACATTGTTACTTTACATAAGTTGACCAAAACAAGACACAACTGATCAGAGCATTTGTAACTAACATATTTCTTACATGCCAA